ATTGATGTAACAGGTATGAATTTATTTATTTATTTATTTATTTATTTATTTATTTATTTATTTATTTATTTATTTATTTATTTATTTATTTATTTATTTATTTATTTATTTATTTATTTATTTATTTATTTATTGATTGATTTATTGATTTATTGATTTAATTTCAGGCAAAAATGAGTACACCCCAAGATTTATGACCAATCCGATTATAGAAGTTGTGTTAGAGGATCTACCAATAGGATCAACAGTCTTGCAACTGGGTGCGATAGATAATGATGCAGGGAATGATGGTTAGTTGCTTTTAAGAAATTTCCTAACAAATTAGTTGGCATGTTTTAAATACTTTTCAGAACTTGAATTTACTAAAATAAAGTATATAACAGAGATATTGAGGTATGTGTTGTCAGCGACAATATATCAACAGAAACGAACCACCAAATAACACATAGTCATCACAAACGCTCCTTGCGCGGCATACATAAGCCACAATTAGTGTTTTCGAATTAAGTAAGAACTGTTTTATTGTTATATAAGTGAATATATAACCTTAATACAATTGCCTGATTCGGTATAAAATGATTTTTCAACCCAGCAAAATAGAAAGCATTGATTTCCTATATTTCTGTATCTCAGTTCTGGATTGTTTTAGAAATGTTCAGACATTTTCATGAATTCAAGATAATATGTAGAGATAAAGACAATATTTGTGATCGAATGACAAATGTAGCATTTTCTATAAATATTAGGAAGATGAAATTATCTATAGGTACATTTATTGTCCATGTTCATTGTTATGTTTATGAATAGAAGTCTATTTACAAAACTATTTTATAATTATGTCATACATGATTATTATTACAGGTGAACTTACATACATCATCCTGGAAGGAAATTCTGAAGAGAAGTTTGATATAGTTAGTGACACTGGTGTTATTTACCTACTGCGACAACTTGATTGGGAAACTACAGATCAGTATCAACTAATCGTTCAGGCATCAGATGGAGGAACACCACCAAAAACAACTACTGGAACAGTAGATATATATATTCTCGATACAAATGATAATGTACCATACTGCGATCCAATCGGTTACAATGCAGTTGTACCAGAAGATACTTCTATTGATTCATATATCATAACCCCAAATTGTATGGACGATGACTTTGGCAGTAATTTTACCTATACAATCGTCAGTGGTAATGACGACACACGATTCAGAATTGACGAAAGTAGTGGGAACCTTTACTTAAACCGCATGTTGGATGCAGAGACAGAAAATGTTTATGTTCTAACAGTAAAAATATCTGATGGGCTAAGCGAAGGAACAGCAGTTATCACAGTTTCTGTTCAGGGGGTGAACGAATACCCACCAGTTTATGACCCATATTCTGTATACTATGCAAATGTCGCTGAAGACGCTGGCAGTGGAGTACTAGTAACTACAGTTGTCACAAATGATTTAGATGCGTTGGATGATGGGAAGGTTACATATCAGATTACTGATGGGAACATAAATGATGTCTTTCAAATTAATGAAGAGGATGGTTCTATCACAGTAAAGAGAGCGTTGGATCGTGAAACAATTAACGAATACACCCTGGAAATAACTGCTACTGATCTTGCTGCACCTGGACAAGAGCTGACAGCACTTGCATCAGTTGTAGTTACAATTAATGACAGAAATGATCAACCACCACTTTTCCAGCCAGTATTTTACACAGGAACAATTTTGGAAGATGCTGCAATCGCTGAATTAGTGGCGACAATGACAGTAGTAGACTATGATCTGGGCTCACCAAATACTGACTACAAAATTAGTATAAAGTCTGGAGATGTTCTAAAAAAATTTGACATTAGTGGAGATGAACTTGTTGTAAATGGTGTCTTAGATTATGAAACAACGAAATCGTATTTTATTACCATTGAAGTGGAAGATCTTGGAACACCAGCGCTTACATCAACTGGACACATTGCCGTTACAGTGCTGCCTGTAAATGAAGCAGTTCCTGAATTCCAATTTATAGGCACTGCTAAACTCTATGAAAGTGGTATTGACGAAAATGCTGTGGGGTATACAAGTGTGCTTACTGTTAATGCCGTAGAACTAGATCCCACGGACGATCCTGATCACGTGCACAGCCAGATACGATACTATATTACCGGGGGAAATGATGACGGGATATTTACTATTGACACTAGATCTGGAGTTATATCTACAGCAGGAATTATAGACAGAGAAGAAAAAGATTTTTATACCTTAGAAGTGACTGCAGTAGATAGTATTCCTGAGTTTGGCGATGAGCTGATTGACACTGCTGTGGTAAATATCACTGTCCGAGATGTTAATGACAATGCGCCACTGTTTGATCCAACTTTGTACTCTATTTCAGTATATGAAACTGCTGATATTGCCTCCACTCTAATGTCTTTGTTTGCAACTGATGCTGACATTGGTACCAATAAGGACATAGACTATGATATTGTGTATGGCAATACTGGTTCTGACTTTGATTTTATTAGCAATGAATTACTAACAGTCCACACACTTGCGTGGCATAGAACACAATTTTATAGGTTGGTTATTCGCGCTAAAGATAGAGGAACTCCATCAAAATCAGGATATGCAAGGGTCACCATAGAAGTAAAACCAATAAATAACCAATCTCCAATATTTCCAGCAGACACGGACACTGTGTCTTTACCTGAAGATACGCTAGTTGGAACACCAATCTACACTGCTGTGGCAAGTGATGCTGACTATGGCTTCCATGGTGAAGTTGAATATTATATAACAGATGGCCTGGACGGCGATGATGGAACGTTCCACGTGAATAGACAGACAGGGTTGGTGACACTTGGTGCTAATCTCGACCGGGAGTATCAAGATCAGTATATAATTAACATCACAGCCTTTGATAAGGCAGAGAATGAAACATTAGTCAAGAGAGACTCCTTTTTACTGACAATTGATATTACAGATGTTAATGACAATGATCCTATTTGTGTTGTACCAATTGACTTAATTTACATGGAAGAAAACCAAGATCCAGATATTGTAATTACTACAGTTCGTGCTACAGATGCAGATATTGACGAAAACGCGGAATTATCGTACACTGTAATATCTGGTGTTAATGAATTTGACTTTGAACTCCAAGCAGGAACACATGACATTTATGCAATAGAGAATTTAGACAGGGAGAAGCATGACATATATAGTCTAAATATTAAAGTATCAGACAATGGTGTTCCCCCACGTACAGCTTTATGTGCAATTGAGATACATCTGATTGACCAGAATGACAATGATCCGCTTATTACACCAAATAATGTGAAACTTTCAATCTATGAGAACAGTCCCCAGCATACAAGCCTCTTCACATTTGAAGCAACCGATCCCGATGAAGATTTGAATGGAGAAGTGTTCTTCACCATTATTGGAGGGGATGATCATGGCCATTTTAGCATTGGTGAAATTAGTGGTGAACTTGAAACTACAGCTGTACTGGATAGGGAAGAAATATCTTCGTAAGTGGAATTCATTTTTGTATGTGTTCATGAATTATATTATTTTTCATTCTGTGTTTTTACAACTACTGATTCTTATTAATTAATTTGTTTTATTCGTGAACATGACAAGAATATAAGTTTATTGAGAAAGTTATAAAGCAAGTCGAAAATAATTATCAGATGACAGAACAAATTAATAGTGACTAAAGTATAGTAATAATGTTTAACACAATGTAAAACGGCATATCTCTTCATGATTTTACAGTTACGCCTTGCAGATCAGAGCATCTGATAAAGGTGACCCGGCAAGAATGGGAAATGCACTGGTTAATATTACAGTCATTGACGAAAACGATAATGGTCCAATTTGCAAGAAATCACAGTCTTATACAAAAACTGTCAGGGAAGATATGGCAATAGGCATGCCGGCAATGGTTATACGAAGCTATGACAAGGATGAATATAAATATAAAAATACGGAAAGAACATATAGAATAATGAGTGGAAATGATGGTACGTTAAAACAATGTTATCTATACATATTATTTACATAGATTATTATGTATGTTATATTGAATGGTATATTTATTAATTTTATTGGTCATATGACAGGAACCTGGGCTATTGATCCAGAGAAGGGAAGCATATATCTGTTGGGAGAGTTGAACAGACAGACAGCCCCAGGATATTCGTTTGTTGTTCGTATAGAGGATGATAAAGACCCAACCATGTATGACGAGTGTACAGCCAGTATCAATGTTATCGAAGCGCGAGATGGGATATCCGTAGTCGATGCTGATGTAGTACTAACAGTTCAGGAGAATGTTGACTTGGGTACAATTATTGGAAATGTCGGGTGTTTTGATGCCGATATCTGTGGTGGTGATATGATGTATGATATAATCGGGGGTGCAAATATGGAGGATTTTTATTTAAACATAGACACAGGTACACTGCTAGTAGCAGGAGAAATAGACTATGAAGAAGTACAACAGTATGCCTTGTTAGTTCGATCAATACAAAATGGTTATGAAGAGGCCTATGGTGTTGTAGCTATTAATGTAATTGATATGAACGATCACGCTCCAATTTTTCTGACCACCTCACCATACGCGAGTGGTGTCCGAGAGGATAGTCCATTGCAAAGTACAGTTATACATGTTTCTGCTACTGACGAAGATGCCGGTGAAGACAGTATAGTTACATACTCCTTGTCTACAGCACTTGATGACAATGGACCAATAGCAAATACGTATTTCTCAATCAATTCCGATTCTGGTGTTATTACTATAAAAGACGAACTGGATAGTGAACTTTACAGAGAGATATCTCTAGTAGTCTTGGCGACTGATTCTGGTTCCCCTGCTGAAACAGCTTCAGCGACAGTGACAATAACTATTGTCGATGTTAACGATAATCCACCAGTATTCAACCCAGATTTTTACAGTGGAGAAATGTCATACACGAACTTGCTTGGTGAGCCAGTAATTAATCTTTTTGCAACAGATGCCGATCAAGATTCAATAGTCCAATACAGCATCCAAGATTCATCCGGTGCTTTCACAGTTAACCCAGGTAGTGGTGCTGTGAGCTTGTCTACTGGTGTTAGACCTACTGTATATACTAAATACCCATTTACTGTTACTGGGACTGATACAGGAAATCCACCGCAAACGTCAGAAGTTATCAATGCAAGAATTGACACGTTCGATCCATACATGAACCTGGTTGCTATTCATGTGACAGGACGCACTAAACAAGACATTCTAGATGATGAAGAAAATTTCCTAGAATCATTGAACACACTCATTCGAGCAGAATATCCAACTGGTAGATGTGGAATATCTCATGTGTTAACAGTTGGAGACGTGGTTACAGTGTCAGCTAAACGACGACTACTGCAGTCATCAAGGTAAAGAGTATTGCTGTCATTGTTAGATTTACTGTGATGTAGCTTTGGAGATTAGTAATTCGTCAATAATAATGTTATTTTGAAGCAAACATTTCTGAATAATTGTATTTGAATCATTACTTCTGAATTCATTCAGACTGAAAATGGAAAAGTTTGTTATTGAACAGTTAAACAAGTCATTGTGTGCTTTCAAGAATGTGTAATGAATCACTGCAACAACAACAGTCTCACACAATCTACACCTTACCTTACCTTCCTTATGTTTGGAATGATTAATTAATATTAATAATTAATTAATTAATTAACGTTTATCGGTTTTGTTAACGTTATAATCATATTCTGAAAATCAAATAATTTACCTGGTTGATGATTATATCCATGCCTATTTTCCACTGTAATGCTTCTAGTTAGATGAGTCATCATGCACCATCTCTTCTCGATATGTGTTACCATGCAGCAGGCGTGTCTATTCGCAATGCAAACTATCAATTGTATGCAAGACTTCGAATGAATGAGGCTATAGTATGAAATCTGATATATTTGTCATTGATATTATGTTATTATATTACATTCTATTATTTTTATCAGTGTAATAGTGTATGTATACGGAGTTGCCGATGACACTGCAGATGTTGAATCTGGATTAGCGAACACAAAGAACTTCATTTCCCAGGAATATTTGTACTCTACATTTGCTGGAGATGACTTGGGAACTCCTTCGTCTGCATTAACAGGTTGGGCTGCAAATCATGATCGCTTTATATTATATATGCATTATACATGATCTAGCATGTAATTGACGCAATCAAACTAGTACGTTTCAATTGTACTTATTGTTTTCATTGTTGTGAAATTTCAAATGTGTTTTAGATGTATCGGACTATCCAATGACTCTTGTTGAGAAGGTGACTGAGCCAACAGATTCTTGGTGGACCTCAGCAGCAGGCATAGCTACCATTGTCATGTGTTCTTTGCTTGGTTTGGTGGCTCTGGCAGCCATATGTACACTAATTTATTGCTGCTGTTGTGGTGCATTGGCTGGGTGAGTTTTCCATTTATCTATCACGACATTATTCTCATTCGTAATAGAGATGTTTCAGATAATCGCAATGTTATTGTATGAATAATTTATTCGCAGCGCATGCGCCGGTGATGGTAAAGGATGCTGCGTTGGTTGCTGGCGAAGGTTCGTCCAGGCTGTGAAGGACTGCTGTAGGAGCAAACCGAGGCCACCTCCTCCAGAAGAGCCAAAAGGACCAAGGCATAACTGGGGAGCACATGGTTAGCAGCTATTTATAATAAAATCATATGTTTTGTTGGAATGACGCGATACGATAAATTATAAAATGTAATTTTGAAATAATAACAACCATCTTGTCTATGATATTACAGTTTATGAAGGGTATCACAGAGATGAAATACCAATAAAGAAAAAAGGAAAGGCGGAGGAATCGGTGTTATCCCTTCCACAGGTAAGAATGTTTCATGCAAAATGTTGAAAGTTCAAGTACGGACATATTTGGAAAACCCGATTACTGTCACACTCAGAACAATATTTTCAATGCAGATCCTGAAAACCACAACAACATTCTATTTATGTGGCTCAAACCGTTGACAAGATCGCGTTCACTCAATTGCTAGTAACACGACACAAAGGCAGCGCGCAACCGGGTCGCAGCGGGGTTTGCAGATATAACTATATAACATCCAAAATATATATGACATCCAAAAGGTTGCGAGATTTGGCTCGCGCATGCTCAGCCAATCATAGTGCGATCATACTTATTATGCATAATTTTAAAACCGTTTGGTTGATTGTAGTTCGTTTCTCGTGTGTTAAGTTTATACGTCTGTAAAATGTGCTTTTATTTTTTGCTTCTCTCAATGATTACATTATTGTTTTCTATGTAGACAAAGAGTAGCGATGCAGCCGGGAGATTTAAAAGCCTAGCTGGGAAGGCCAGAGGAGGCGGTGTCGATGGTGAGTTGATAGAAATTACCAGCTTACGTAACTTGTTCACGTAATATGTAATACCGTTACTAGCTAATTACTCGACGCTTAATATATGAAAAAGCACTCCATACATTTGCACACTATCTTAGTGAATGAAGCTTAAAAAAGTTAGTCCCACAATATGCATGTAAACCAATTCAAATAGTATTCAATTTGTTTCTTGTTCTAATATCTGATATTTGAATTGTTAATAATAAAATACGTTCCAGTAATTCTGAAGCAGTAAACGTTGTTAGACAATACAATCACTGTGATTGGAATTTAGAGAGGAACTGTGCTGTTGTATAGAAATACACACGATAACTTTTGTTTTATCGTAAACATGCCCGAGACCGTTCGTGACAATGTTCATTCCCAATATTAATTCAAATTTCCATTTTGTCAGTCGCAATTCTCAATTTAAAGTTACGAATTCAATCTATATTATAATAAAAATATATTCATCTTGCAACGTATAATGATGCCGAATTACGGATAAGATAATCAAAGTCTAAAGGTATATGATTATATAAATTACAATTTCGTCGTTTTCCATTCTCTTATGGTTTCAATTCTATATAGAACATATTAAGATTAAGAATATATTTTCATAAAAAAGTTAACTTGTGACATGAATATGTATTCAAGTAATATGAAACACCAGAATTGTGCGTTTTCCGAAGTTATATAATATTGCCATTAGTTCTAGAACGACTAAAAAAGTATGTTCTGTTCACAGTCATTAGTACTTAAACTTTTATACAAAGCGTAATATTACAGAGTACACCACAACGGGGAATACTCACAGATGTCGACCACTAGAGGGCATACTCACAGATGTCACGTAGGGTTACTTGTAACCTGAATGTTTCAAATCAATTTAAAGTAGTCCACATAATTCCTCGATCAGCACAACAAATAATTCTCTTATTTCCACAATCTGATATGACTGGCCAATCAGGAGACCACGCCTGCTTTATGGCTTCACTGCTTAGAATAACGCTACCCTTTCAATGACAACACTAAAACCTTTCAGTGTGGGTCAGCCTGGGGCCATCTGCTTTAAAGTGTGCAGCAGGGAATTAAGACTGGTAACACCATTGCTTGTCTCTTATTATTGCAGAAAATCACCAGCTGTGACGCTATTACCGATTGGCTACTCACGCTGTCAATCACTTGGCCTGTCACGTGCATAACGCCAGTGAAAGCACTGTGTCAAAGAGACAGATAATACCATCAAAATTCAACATCCGATAGTTTGCTTAAATATCACAAAATCACATCATATCACGTCACCTTAGCAAATATTGATTAAAAATGCTAGCAATAGATGACGCTGCGTTAAATTAATTCACGTGTGACATTGCCATCTATGAATACATACACAATAGTGTAGTCACGTTGTTTGTGCGGTATATTGAGCTCTGTGCTTGTACATTTATTTTTGCAGGTCAAAGCTTGCCTAGTGTTGAATAGAGAGAAGAAAATAATCATTAGTAGTAGTTGAAACTAAAATTTCCGTTTTAACTTAGTTTTAATATTTTCTATTTTGTACGCTTCACCATATATAAGACGACTGGCACTGTTAAACTTTCAGTCCCATGTAAATGTACACTCTTCTTGGCGTTTCCATAACCTTCTTTACGATAACCGATATTTACAAATTATCATAAAATGGCCACGGCTAAACTTTCTCATGCTCAGTGCTCTATGTATCAGATCGTCATCATGTACTATTATTTTCAGAGCAGAGACTTATGTTTAATATGTCCGACTGCATAAGACGTATTATTTTCTGATAATGACCTGTACCGTATTCACTTATAGAAGAATTAAAATACCTTGCATTGATAATAATGAAACTGTATTTTGTTGTCATGAACTATCATTTTCTCCTAAGTTGTTGTGCTATCGCTGTCGATTGTCTAGCAGAACCTATGAATCGTTTTTTTTTTTGGCCCAGGTATAACATGACGTCTCCTCGTCTGCACATGGATAACTATATCATCACATTGTGCACATATTCAAGTTAAATTGTTAGGGAGGTTTAATAACAGGACAACATTTTAGACAAAATTGAACGCGACGAACGTGCCCGATTGGTAATTGAGGCTGAGCAATCCTAATTATAAACTGAATCGTGTCTCGATCACATATTCCATATGGGATCTCGTTACAGATGATATCGCGAAAATAAAAGAGCAGCACGAAGCAGACAAGAGACAGTTTAATAAAGTCCAGGGAGTGAACAAAGCAAGGGCTGAACAAGATTTACAAGACAAACTTGCCGAGCGTAGAAATCGTCGTTTCGGTAATACTGATGATGACTGAGTGTTATAATTAAAGAAATTATTCTTGAAATGTAAATTGACATTTTACATTTCAATGTCGACAAATTACAAATAAATTTGTTATCATTTAATTTATATTATATTATTATAACCATTGTCGTCTCATTTAAACATAACGTAATTTTCAGTGCTGTTTACCATAGCTTCACTTTGGATATCGTTTCGAATTCTTGGGCGGAATTTTAAATTACAATAGACCCGATAGGTGGCGGTATCACTGTTTTTTGTTTGTTTTTCTTCGGGAACCATTGCCACTAGACGTATGACAGTGAGTCATTTGTACGGTTAATGAAACATTTGTTTATTGTAAGACCGTGGCGATACATTAAAATCTGTCAGAATTATTCAATACCAACTGGTAATTATACTTATCATTTGTAATAATGTTATACCCCATCATAACATTGACACGATTTTATATCGGTTGTATTAAAATGTATATTGGGTAAAATAAAATGTTTAACGTTGAAATTCAACACTTGACGGCGTTTCCATTGAACTGTCTCACCATGAACGACAATTCTGTTGATCGCAGGGCACTAGGTATCATGGCTGTATGAGAACTCGGAACTAGTTGCGTAGCGCCCTCAGTCAAATTATGTTTCTAATGACTGTTGAGAGTTTGTATCGAGTAACAGAAGAAGGTGAATCGTCTTGTTTCGGGCTGCTTAAAGTTCATTAATCGCAAATTAACAATACGTTTTACTGAATTGTTAATCACACAACTTCGCGCTAGACCGAAAGCAAACGGTTGTTTGCAATAAGCTGCTACAATCAGACCTACACTTTTGATTGGCAAAGTAGCATGTCATATAGCCTTCACCTGAGTTGTGTCCTGCGTCAGCCACGATAAGTGTATATTACGCTGCTAGATTAATATTAAAGTCACTTTGTGTTTACCAGGGTCAATTGAATGAGGAGCAAAGTCATAACAATTCATTCCAATTTTATTACTATAGTTGTCAGTCTCTTCGAACTTTGACGCTTAATTTCCACGAGTGAATGGCGAGGCCATTTAACACATCTGCCATTGTCGAGGTTTTCTACGAACAATTAACAAAAGCGTTGACTGAAACGAACTACGTGAACTTCAATGTTATCTCATATATGACAAATTACGTATGTCTTTAATTACACACATAGATAGAATTATTAATATATGCTCACAGGTGATATATAATTGACGAGTTATTCTTGGTTACTACAACAATATTCTACCCAGTAGTAGTTCTCATTGACGTCAATATGTGTTATTTACAATACGTTGACGACCTAGTGTAGAAATAAATTAAAATACCGAGTCGTAAAAAACACGAAAACAATACGTTTATAGAATAAAGGAGAGATTACGGCCAGAAACAGCTTATCTGTGACGACCATAGCATAGAAGTGCTGAACCTAAAAACATCCATGGAAACGCATTTAGTCACAACCAGGGGACCACATTCTAACACATATCCCTCTTATATAATTGCGGCATGGTATTATGCATAGTGCTGATACAGTTAATACTCAGTTAATACTGAGACTCTGTATTCATTGTTAAAATTAAATTAGTGTTAGTGGTCGGTTTTGAACAAGCTCAAGACAATTTAAATCCAACGCGACGGCAAGTGCGTGTCCCCCGGTATTCTCATTAAACGGGACACATTGTGTCTCGCCCCGTACAGCTCGCCGTTATGGTATTGTCTTCTACGAAGTGACTTTTAACATTGTGACCTCAGAGTATTGTGTTCGCCCAATACCTTCCGAACAACCAGTAGCTACAGTGTATCTAACATAACTCGTTTCGTGCGTTAGAAGCACGTTAGTGGACTTACACTCGGGAAGATGGAAGTCCGAGTCGCCATTTTATGTATTTGTACACTCCATACATTGTTTCAAGCAGTAACTACACGTAAGTATGATACCATATATTATTTTAATATTATACATCATGTTATTTCAATTCCATAGCATTGAATCATTCGGTGACTGCATACATTTATTTAATTGAAAAAAATACCTCTGTGCACAGTAAATTTGAATCGGAACTAATTATATTATTCATCGCATTGCTGCACCGAATCCATATGTCTACTTGTGCTAGGTATGGCATTGCTGCACCGAATCCATATGTCTACTTGTGCTAGGTATGGCAAATATTTCACATACTATTTGTTTTCTGTCGCTGATATAAAAACCACTGTGCTAGACACTTAACGACTACTACATATGCTATTCAATTTTACTCCGTTTATTTCGATTAACTGAACACGAGAAACGGTCAGTGGACATTGCATTCACAACGACAGTATTATCCATCCACACAATCAACCACCATTAAGCAACTACTGGTATTATAAAGACTAGACGTTTCACGCTGTGGCCCGCCTTTGGTAGAATTTTCAGTATAGACTCTCTTCACTGGGAAAGATGTTCTGAGATATATTTTTTCTATTTTCCCATCGCTATACTGCGTCGAGGTCTATATCGGTGTCTGACACACGCACCTAGTTCGTCAAAACTCATGTTGGTTTGATTGGAATGGGGTTATTCCACTCGCGAGTCCTGCTATTTCGATTCGTCGCCAACTACTAATATCATTGCCAAGGCAAGATCACAGGATTTGAGTCTTTTAAACTCGAAAGGGATGACGAATAATAACTATTAGGGTTGACTCTAAATACAATAAATTATTCATTACGTTGTGCGATTCTCAATTTGTGTGAAGATCTGAATAGTTTTTGTTATGTATTACATCATGTGATTAATTATTCATGGCACGAAATATTCATACAAAAGAATGAGTAAACAAACATTAATAGCGCCAGATGTACTAAGTATTTAGAAATGCTGGCGTTGTAGTAAATTATCGATGGCTTTATTCATATATGCTTCTTTTGGTTTAAAACAAATCACTGACACTGAGCAAAGTAACGCAGTTGGAATCAAACATATCTTTATTTTCCGCAGACGTTCTCATAGTTGATCTCTTCCACGTGATTACGTCGGTTTTATTTTTATTAGAACTCATTATTGCGACAAACGCATTTGCATTTTTATAATGTATATGCAACCTTCTGAAATTAAACGTTACATACACTTGTCAGTAACCGCAGTTTAGCCGTCAATATTTAAGTATCTTATTTTCAGTAGAAAGCTGGACACGACATAGTTTCATTTTTGTGCACTACGCCATATACGCTTTGATACATAAAAGAACAATATTCGCTCCAACTGGCCAGTTTAGAAAACCACTATTAGAGGGCAGTTTGTGTGCGTGTTTGAATTTCACATAAACCATGAATTTTACAAGGCGCGGTGTGGCCATTTGTTTATAAATGAAATTACCTGAAAACTTGAATTACGATTGTGTGAATACCCTGTTCAGTGAAGATATGTGGCTAATTCCAGGTTTCCCGAAAATCGAATTCTTTGAAAATTACAGCCACACTTGCTCATAAAATATGAAATATAGACGTCTCATTGAGTTTTACAGAACACAAAACGCTGTGAGTCCTCGTGCGTTTCTTCTTTATAATAATAAACACGAACTCACCACCTCAAGTTTCTAGCCACGAAGTCAAACTATTTGATGCATTTCGATTCAAATTTCAGATATTAAAATAATCAAACTAATTAAAATAAAACGTGATATAAAGCAACGTAATGAAATCAACAACTGTAATAGTAAAGTAAACATCAAATAATAACAAACAAATCAGAACATACAAATAAAATAATACAACAAAATAAAAAAAAATATAACAGAGGAAAATAAATAAAGAAAAATAACTAGACAGCACTCAAAGAAGATGCTAACCTGCGTTAGATTTAAATTTCTTCTTGTGGTGTATACTAAACAAACATAATGACACATTGACTTTGCCCCGAAAATACACCAAGCATTTGTGAGTCGCATTGGAAACATGTATGCCAGATTTGAAGACTCTAGCTATTTTTCCCTTGTTATATAACAAACATTTATAAAACCATACATTATCCTTGAACCTTGGACCCCGAAATTTATCAAGATCTTGTGAATCGAATAGGTAATAGGTGTGCCATTTCTGAAAGTGTTGGTTATTACCCCTCTGCAGTTATACTGTATAGTACAGAAATACACAGTAAACACAGTAAAAAAAAAACATGTATAATGATATCGACGTCACAGCGGCCTCGTGGTGGAAAAAAATAGTAATATTATGCACTTTGTGCGATCCGTTACGGGTTTCGGGCGGGGCTCAAATGACTCGTGCAATTATACCACATTTAGCTAGTGTGCGTGACCTAGGTTGGGAAAAAGAATAAGAAAAAGGGAAGTTTCGTTTGCAGATAATCGGAGCCAAAAACTGACAGTTTGTTATTTTGTGATATAATACGGAGGTATTCTGTTGAACAAAATGAATAAAAAGTCAACAGATTGCGACATCTGAAGGCATATTTAGGCAGTTTCTCTTTGAACCGCTGATTAACAGCAAACTTAGAACTACGAAAAGGCTTGGTGTATTGAACATCCTTCTTTGATAGAGCGCAATAGAGCATGTTCTCGGTCATCAAGGAGGTGTGCCTTCATTAGCCAACTCAGATTAACTCCGTACCCACTCCCTCCGGTGAAGTGCAATAGCTGAACACTGGGATTTGATGGTACACCCCCTTTATTTACAGAGACACCACTAAACCGCGATTTGTGATTTGAGATTCACGATTGTCGACTTGTTAAACAAAAATCATGGGGCTGATAAGTGTAGGTGTGTAGCATAAATAGTGCTGGGTAGATATTTAATTAAACGGTAATGGTTTATATTAGATTGTAAACCTACATATCACCTCACTCTAATGGTGACGCCGTTAATTAAATTTATGATAAGGTATTAGGGAAAAGATTTAATAAAATTCCATTCTTATTTAGGATTACAATTTAATTGTAATTTATCTTTAATACCTGTTTGTGGATACGCTAGAGTTGGTGCGTTGCTTTGACCGCTAGCCGGGTTGTCAATTGTCATTCGACGAGCAAGTGTAATAAGAATAGAATCACACAGTCTATTAACACAATTGGTCTAAGCTATGTTTTAATATAGTGAAACGCGTACCTATATTTGAACATCTTGAGTTACCGACAGGTTTGATTTTAAGACTCGCATTTTTCATATATATATATATATATATATGTTTTTATTTTTTTTCTGTTTCTTAATTTAACCAATACGGTGGACGGTGTAGTGCACCGATAACACTAAACACAAAACGCAATGTATCTTGAAACTCTATTCGCATATAACAGACTGTATTTATGGCTGTCACTACGGCTGGGGCTAGGTTAATGTAGTCACAAGAACAGCATCTGTGAGCTTGTTATTGAAATTATTGTCTTTCACTTTTGGATGTTTTATTATAGAAAGTTAACATTAACGTCACGAGTTAAATTGTAACTTGTAACATGCGTTGTCACTGTATGTCATATTGCACAATAAATAATTATGTGGGATAGTAGGAAATACAAAAAAAACTCCTGTAGCTATTTCAACTGGAATGTGTCTGACCAAGTCTGACTTGCAGGATTTGTACCCTGTACTTCACACTAAATCTTTAGCGAATGCAGACTATAGTTTCAATGTTGTGTATTGAAATTAGGAGGCAAGAATTGTATCATTCAATCTAGGACACATATTATTCAAACTAGATACCTGAGGTATTTACAGAATTATTGCGCCACCATATTTAATATGAAAACTTTTTATAGGTCTGTGGCTGAATGCATTATTCGTCGACTGCAATATCATCCTAACCCCATTCTCACTTGAAGGGCATCCAACGATAACTGTTTTTATTCCCATTTATGTTTTTTCCTGGGTTTCTGCAACTATCTGGAAGATAGTATTATAACCGGATTTTCGTCAAAATTTTGCAAATAAAGGTGAACTGTAGTTGTCACTTTTACATTTTAGAAAGCAAGAACGTGGTAAACGGTTTCCGCATGGTAGCGTTTAGTGTGAAGTGGGGCTGTTTTTGATTCGGGTTCTGGAGTATTTAGTGAAAGCCAAAACATATCAATATTCGGTCTCGTTAATTTGATTGGAGATAAAATTTGCTTTTTAGCCTATATCTGGTATAAATGTAAAGATGTGAAACACATCCATATCGACATTCCCATGTTTCCCATGTATGTTTCAGTGGCAAGCGACGGAGAAACATTGCAATAATCGAAATATAACTGCACGGTCATAAAAAGCAATAGTAGAAATTGTTTGTTTTTATAAATGAACGAATTTTGCGCTCATTTCAAGAAAGTCAAAACAAAATATGATTTGGCCGATCGATATCTTGAAACATGAAACATTATTATTACGGCAAAATCAATATCGTCATTTTCACGAAATAGACAAATTCGAGAACGATTCATATATGTTTCGAAAGAATGAGATTTGAATGCGAAATAAAGCGCTATGTTGATTGAAAAGTATTGTTTTAAACGCAGAAAGTACGTGCGTCTGTAGTGCGTCTGAGGTATTAAGTAGTCAGAAATAATAATCAATTCGCGATTTACCATTGAATCCAGCGAAGCATTTTATACACGTAGGTAGCAGCAATAAAACTCTAGTATATGTTCTATATTGCAGAATGTGTCTTAACCTATCCAGGAACGTCGTATAGCATAAATGAAAACACTGCAAAAGACACGATAGTTGTTCAGGGTTCTAGTTTTACAGGTGGTGTATATCCAGCCTACGAGGCAAGAATTGTGTCTGTCAGTCCTGGACCAGTGGATCTATTTTACGTCAAACCAGATACTGGGGAGGTAGGATGATGTTCATATATTTTACGTCACACTATAATCTCACACGACGGGGAGTAAGCAAATTAAATATTCACAAGGCGACAATGAATCTAACATGTAGAATTAATATTACATTTTGTGGATAAAATCATTATAAATATTAATTTGTTGTATATAATCATGATAACAACAGTCCGGATGATGTATCTTTCGATTTTCAGTTGTACATTGGTTCAGAACCACTGGACTATGAAGAATCTCCAATGCATACTGTAATTATCGAATGTTGGGACACAACAGATCCTGCTACAAAAGACAGTGTTACCGTGACAGTTAATGTGGTGAACGCTAATGACCCCCCGGAGTTCACAAACCTGCCAGGTACAGGGTCAGTTAACGAGGACGCTGGTTCATCTGCCTCAGTGTTTCAAGTAAATGTACAAGACCAAGATACTTCTAACACTATCACTTACGCCATTATTAATCAAAATCCCGGGGGAACGTTGAAATTTACCATCGACTCATCGGGTTTGGTGAAAGTAATCAGTGCGAACTCCCTGCAAGCTGACCCACCGAGTGCTGTGACTTTGTACACGTTACTCATTAGGTAAGGTGGCTAACTTTGTACATCACTGCGTTATTTTTGTTTTGTATAAATCTGCATTCACATAAATATATAGATGGATACCTTGCTCAATGATCGATCTCACTGACTTTTTGATAGGGCAAGTGATGGCTCAACTTTTATATCCGACGTGCTGACCATCAACGTTTTAGGGACCTTTGACGAAAGTCCTTCGTTTGCAAGATCTTCATATACTGGAAGTGTTGACGAGGATGGAACGGCCATTTCATGGATCAACCCACCAAGTATAGAACCAAAAGATGATTTAAGCGATGCAGACGGTGCCGGGGATTCGTACACATATTCTATCAGTGGTAAATATAAGTGTAAATCAAATGTTTTGGGTAAAACCATCGATCTTTTTCCACACACTTCAAGGTTTTGCATCCATTCGTCAATGAATCTCGGCCAGTGGTACTGGTCTCCCAATTGTGTTTGTAGCACATATCCCGACTCAGCACCAGGTAAATTTTGATACAATTTATATTGTAGGCGCCGGTGCGAGCAAGTTTAGGGTTGGTGAATCAACTGGAATTATAACTGCAAGTGATGACATGGATATTGACGCCGGTAGCCAACAAACTTACACCTTCTCACTTACTGCGACTGATCGAGGGGACAACCAAGGATCTACGCTTATAACTATTCAAGTGAACCCAGTAAATGAGCACGCACCAGTTTTCAACCCCACTGTGTACCATAAGAGTATATACGAAAATGGAGTATCCGGTAAGTGAACCATATCAAGTAATTAAAATATTGTCCTGAGTTACTCACGTGATAAATTTCTTATTATTGTATTTTTACTCGAATGTTTTATGTAACTTCAGGAGCAACAGTGGCGACATTGGGTGTTACCGACGCAGATACTGGCGATACAATGACGATAATAATTACCAGCGGTGACGATGTCATCAACAAATTTGACATTAGCGGAAATGACGTGATTACTAATGGTGTTCTGGATTATGAAGCATTAGTCAATGATTTGTACATATTGAATGTACGCGCAGAGGATTCTGGGGGCAAAACCAGCGATGCCATGGTTTTTATACAGGTTAGAAAAAATCTCAACTAATGCAGGCGTATAACTAAAGGATATATATCTAATTCTTAATGTTTTTGCAGTGTTATTAATAAGCTATGTTTGGTTAAATAAACAGCCGATCATTAACAAATACATCGGTCTACTGGATGTTCTACGGTTCCTTTTTACATTCTGTTGTGCAGCTCCTTAATGTAAAACATGATTCACAGTTACGTATGTATAAATAGCAGCGCGTTAATTTTGTTTACAGGTGAAAGGTGTGAACGAATACACTCCATCATTCTCAGATGCTCCGTACGATCCTTTCTCAGTTTTAGAAGACGTTGCTATAGAAACCACTGTCGTGCCAGCACCTGTGGTCGACGATGCCGACAGGGGACCAGACGGCGAACTTATATATAACATTGTTTCAATTAACCGTAAGTATTACACCATGTGTATTCATTAGTTTGTCTTTCTGTGAGTGAATCAAATATCAAATTATATCAAAAATACCACACACTGTGTTCAATGCTATACTATGTTGTTTAGTGACTGTGCTCTGCATATTGCAGTTTCATTGACAATAATTAACCACTACTCTTCTATATGTGTCTTCCTATCTTCCTACACAGCACCCAGCGGATTAGATAAGTTCTCTGTAGATGTGCGAGATGGTGCCATTACCACCAAAGCAAGTCTGAATTACGAAGACCAAGACACATACACTTTGAGGATCAAAGTTAGCGACACTGGCATTCCCGTGAAAACAGCGACAACGGATATAGTAATTAATGTCGTTAATGTCAATGACAATCCCCCAACACTGGACCAAACGGTGTACTACGCCACAGTATTGGAGTCTGATACAGCTGGTACAGTCCTGGTTAACTTCGTTGTTTCAGATCCCGATGATCCCGGCAATGCTGCTTTTGACTTTATGATCGACCCTGCTTCTGATAACAGTGCCGTCGCACCACTTACAACACGATTTACCTTTGATGTTCCCGACAAAGCACTGACGTTAACAGACCCAATCCACCTCGATCCTGGCGATGTCGCACAGTATGATGATGCATATATCCTCCTTGTTGAGATCAGTGACGGATCGCAAACCGCCACAGCTACAGTGTATGTCAATGTTGAACCGGTGAATGACTACGACCCAGTATTCGCTACTGACACTGATCCCCCGGGGCCAATATCGGTATGTATATTAGCCAAATGGGTGTACTAGCGTCAAAAACGTTGAGCCATTTAAGGTTAAATATGCTAACAGTACCAGATATACTCGGTCGACATAGTCATGCAATGCAATATATAACTGATAACTAGACGTAATGTTGTTTTCATTGTCTTGTAATAAGGTTATAAACACACAGATCGTAATAATAAAGGTTTAATGCAAGCACTACAAATGTGATGACACGATACCCGACCCTTGGAAAAGGGGTGCTAAGGCCGTCAAAGTGTTTGACCAGTTTCTTTGTGGATACAACTAAAAGCTTAGTAAACGTATCCAGGTCGATGAAAAATGTTCATTAAAAAATGTCAGAATACGATCTGCCTCAGATTAAACAACTATCCAACGACACCTTGAAAAATATATTAAAACAAAATTATTATATAGCAAAACTATATTTTCTATTTCTTGTGTTACAGATAAACGAAGGGGAACCTTTTGGGACACCCGTGTTCAAATTGGAGGCAACCGATGGTGATTTTGGCTACCAAGGAGAACTAACATACAGTATCATAGGTAAAACACACATTGAATGTCAGTACTCTGTGCTGTTATTCCTTGAAAATATATCAACTGATTAAACGGAGCAGATGCGCGATCAAACAGATTATATTTTCACTTGCCTTTACAGCATGTCAGATATCGTCATGGAGATTAGTGTTTAGTTGAGTTACATCTCCAATAGGTCATCTAATTGTTATATCAACACTTGTGGTTTGTCTTCACAGACGGCGACACATATAACAATTTTCTAATCGATTCATCCACCGGAGAAGTATCTGTGAAAACGCCATTGGTTTACGAACTGGGTGATTCAGTGACATTAACGTTACATGTCAGCGATAATGATGTGGACAATCCACGCACAGCAACAGCCATTGTTACAGTTGGTGTGAATGATGTCACTGGCGATGGGCAAATCACGTGCGTTGATTCAATGACAATTGTGGTGAATCTTCCAGAAGAAGATGTTGAAACGAATGATCTGGTAAGTATTACGTCACTGTTATAGAAATGATGAATAAAAATCGCGTGAAACAAACAAATAGAACCTATATAATATATAGTTTGTGTTTTATATGTAATTCCAGATACATGACTACGATTGCAGTGATCCAGATGGCACAACTGTAATTTACACTTTGAATCCTGCTGATGGCTTTGGCAAGTTCGAAATTGACGCTGCTTCTGGTGAAGTAACTGTTAAGGGTAGGTTACATACTCACATTTCTTTCAGTTGATTGTAGGTTTTATATTACTATCGAGTTGTTGGCACATCTTCTCATGATTTACCTGATGTAAATCATTTTGTGATATGTTTTTTTTTATAAATATTAACGGTCTGGATAGCTATCATTCCAGCTGGTACAACATTGTTTCTCGTGTTATATTATAAATTAAATATATTGTAATGAATCATATCTTGCTTTCTTCCAAAGCTGGCATTGACTGGGACAACGCTGATGATACACATTATCCTCTTGAAATCACTGTTAAGGAAAATCCAGTGGTAGATGCGAACGACGTAGTTATTCTAACTTTAACAGTGAACATTTTGCCGACCAACGAGTTTAATCCAGTGTTTCTCCCGGCATTCACCGGAGCTGTAGATGTGTCTGAGGATGAATTAGTTGACTACCTGGTGATTGATATTGGTGCTAACACACAAGACAATGATCTATCCCCACACGACATCGTGGAATACAGAATATCATCAGGTATTCACATGTTTGTTTCAGTGATTGTATTCCATAACATGTGATATAATATGCCTTACAGGATGTGAGATGTGATCGAAATTACGTATGTATATCGTAATCCGGCACAGCCACTTTGCTTGTACTATGAAGCACACTACTCTGTAATTTGAAATGTTTAGTAACGAAAGGTAAACGATGAATGTGTGTTTATTATTTCTAAAACTATTTAAATCCATCAGTGACACCCTCTAGTGGAACGAACTCATTTTCCCTGGACCCAGTGACTGGAGAACTACGATTGACAAAACAGTTGGATAGAGAAGAAGAAGCTTCTTATGATATTGTTATTGAAATCGAGGATGGTGGCGGAGTTGTAGAGACAGACACACTCACAGTAACAGTGCTTGATATCAATGATAATACGCCAGTTTGTCTACAAACAGCATACAGTGTACAGGTGTTAGAGAATACAAGTGAGAACTAATAATACTATTAACTGTCTCTGAATTGTGTAAAATTTTACCATACACTTCACCATTAGCAAATCATTTCCCTCCTAGCTTTAGGTTTTGAAAAGCTTAAACTATTTTATTTCTAACTACCACATTGATAATATATAATAGAACGTTAGATGAACATAGGAAAATCAATAGTTAACACATTTCAAAATATGAGTGCCGAGAAGTTACATTTACAACAGTAACTTTTGTTGTCTTTTTACAATGTACGATGTTCTCTGTACAAAATATACGTATTATTGCTTTTCTTCACATGTTAATATTGAATGCAATTCTATTTGATATAATCAAATACCTAGTCATTTTCTCCACTTTTTATTTCCTTTTAGCTCCTTTCACTGCAGTAACCGACCTTGATTTGACGTGCACCGACCCCGATGATGGAACAAATGGCGATCTAATCTACTCAGTTAATCAACCTAATCCGGCAACGGGTCCAGATTTTGAGTATGCCCCTGCTGTCGGCGTCAGACTATTGGGTAAGACGACTCACAATAACTGGTCCGCATGACCCGGCACTTACATGAATAGCCTTCATATTTAATTATTAATTCATATAAAATCACTTTCCATACAGGAGGCAGTACTTTGGATTACGATAACACACCAAACCACCAGTACAACGTTGAACTGGTTGTAACTGACCAAGGAACGCCACTTCCGAAAAGTACAACTGTTTATATCACTGTCACAATTCTCCCAGAGAATGAATTCGCTCCAGTTTCTCCTGCTCCTGGTTCGTGTGATTCAAGTATCGATGAGGAGTCCTCAATAGGGTCTGTTGTTGTCAGTTGCCCGGCAACCGATGCTGATTCTGTCGACACTGCTGATGGTCTGATGGTATATTCAATTACAGACGGAGATACTGACGATCTATTTTATATAGACGGCAGTGGTACCATCAGAGTAGCGAATCCCATAGATTATGAATCTCTGACAGGGAACCCTCCCTCTTACACACTCACCATAACAGCTGTTAATAGTGCTACCACGCTTTCATACAATGCCGTGATAACCATTAATGATGTAAACGACCATTTCCCAGCATGCACTTCTATGTCATTTGTGGTAAACGTGAATGAAGATGAAGGGGTACCTTACACGATCATCGAGCTCAGTTCAATTTGTAATGATGAAGATCCGTCTGATGTAACGTTGTTTTACAGCATTGATCCGTCCATGAACCCTCCTTTTGAAGTAACTGCGACAGGGGACTTCAAATTAAATACTGCTCAAGACTACGACCTTGGTACTCGATCTTACAATTTGGACATTCACGTTTCGGACACAATAAATGAAATCATTTTAGCAGTAACAGTTAACATCCTTCCTGTTAATGACAATAATCCTTTATTTAACCAACGTAAGTAGAGCTAAATCGAGTATAATAGTTAGTTTTATTTATTTTATTTTTTTTGTTTTTTGTTGTTTGTTATGAAAGGAATACTCTGTTGATGCAGCTGAGTGTTAAACGTACAATATAAGCACGTTTTATTTCATTCAGAAGTCTGTAATGGGCTCAGATGGGGAGGGGTCTGGTCAAGGACACGTAAACCACATATTTGAATGGGCAGAAATAATGTGCCTGGCAACATGCATCAATACAATGATAGTACACGTGGTAAAGGGTATATGTAGTTTTTTGAACGATTTACGCAAATAATCTCAAACTTGTTTTTTTTTTCAATTATTATTTATACATTCCCAACATATATTTATGTTGAATTTGAACCATATTTGTGTTTACAATGTTAGCTACATACACTACGGACGTGGATGAAGATATTCCTATATATTCGACTATTGTAACTGTGACAGCCAATGATGGTGATTCGGCAGACACTCCACATGGTGTTGTCCACTACAGTATAGCCGCTGCGTGTGCATGTCCACAGTTTGGTATCAATACAAATGGAGATGTAATCCTACTTCAAAACCTGGACTATGAGACAGATACTGGCCACACCATCACAGTAGAAGCTACAGACTCTAGTGGAACTACAGTTCCAGTGACTGTAACTTTGAATGTTAACGATGTGAATGACAATCCACCAATATTTAGTCCAACGATTTACAGGTAATCCCACACATCATGCATGTGCTCTCATTCAGAATTCATTTCTCTAAACCCAGAGCAAGTAAACATTGATATTTAATATCATTTCTAGTGTGATTGTCCCAGAAGATATGAATAACCTTCCAATCGAAACAGTGATAGCCTCAGATAATGATGACCCTGTAGATAATGGACTTATTCAATATGTTATCACTGGTAAGTGCAAAACTTATTGAAACACGTTATATTAGCTTTGTTCATGAACATATCATTATTTTCATATATTATCATAATGGTATTCCAATCAACACAATATTGAGTCCCTTTTTTTCATTTTTCGTGAAGGTGGCAATCCAGATCCCACTTCGATTTTTACTATTGATCCAAGTACTGGTGCGATAACGAACACTGTGGCTTTAGATTACGATGACGTATCACAGCAAATATTCCAAATCAATGTTGAAGCAAGGGATCTAAATGGTGGTGTGGGTTATAGATCTGCTACTGCAATGGTTACAGTGCATGTTGAAGGACGTAATACAGAAACCCCAATATTCGATGATACACCATACACAACATCACAGCAAGAAAATATCCCTGTTGGTCAATTTGTGTTTCAAGTATCTGCTAGTGATGCCGATTTTGGTCCAGATGGCGAAATTTACTTTGCCCTGACTGGTTCAACTTCCTTTCAAATAGAAGAAGACACGGGAATCATTACTCTGAAATCACCACTTGACCGTGAAACTATTGATACGTGTAAATTAAGTGTTATTGCAACAGATAGAGGAACTACCCCATCATCAAATGCTGCAACCGCAACTGTGACAATAACAGTTACCGACTATAATGACAATGAACCTGTCTGCACTTTCTCTAGTGTTGTGGAAACAAGAGCAGAAGACACTGCTGTTGGGAATGTCATCTATGATTTGGGAGCACAATGTGCAGATACCTCCGATTTAGGCGCCAATGCAATTATTGAGTATTCAATTGCAAATGTTGATGGTGATCCAAGCAGTAATTTATTTGATGTTGATTTAAGTACTGGAGAAATAACGCTGGGCGCTACGCTGG